GACATAATTACGATTCTTTTCGATTTTTCGGATAAAGTTTTTCTACCGCTCCTAATTATTACTGTAGAGTGCGGACATAGGTTTATAATTTATTTTTATAGATAAAAAAAATCATAAAAGAGTAAACACAACGTATAGAATGTGAATATTTATAACACTAATCTATATATAATAGCAATCTAATAAATACCATTTTCACATCTGAACGGTTGCGTCTTTTTATCGCAATTTTTCGTTAATGTTTTAATTAAATAAAATATATATTTTACGGTTATGTTTTTTTTTTTTATAAATTGCATTCTGAATGTTTTCTACGGTTGCGTTTTTTATTGTAACTCTTCATAAACAGTTGAAACCGCTTATTCGAATCATTGCAATATTAAGTTTATTTTACGAACAATTGCAACCTTTGGTTTATATATTTAGTTTATTTCACGAACAATTGAAATTTTTGGTTTATTTTATAAATAGCAATAACATTTAATTATCTACCGCCGCGTCTCTCGGTGTAACTTTTCATAAATTATTATTTTAATTCTTAATTTTTAATTACTAAAATGTATTTAAATGAGATTGTAACTATTTAATTGAATTGTTTTAACATTTAACGAATTATTGCAACTTTTGGTTTTGTGTTACGAACCATTGTTATCTTTAGTATATTTGATGAACTATTGCAATATTTGGTATAATTGACGAACCGTTGCAGTTTTTGGAATATTTGATATCTACGGTTGCGTTTCTCGGATAAGTTCGTCATTTTTTAAAAAATATTTAAATACTAAAATATATTTAAATGAATTGTTATTACCGTTTAATTTAACACAATAGCATTTGCTTTATTTGACGTTGAACGTTTTGGCTTATTTATCAAACCATTGTAATATTTGGTTTATTAGTTTATGCTTTTTGCACTTGGGAATAGTTTTTTAGTTACAAATTATTGTTTTTCAAATATTAATATACTTAATAAATGCTTGTGATTTTCTTTATCATATTTTTGTAAAATATATATTGATTTGTTATTAAAAAAATTCAAAATTATTACAATTCATTATGATTTTTTCGTTTGATATTTTTTTAAAGGATTTTTGAAATATATTCCTCCGCAACATCGCGAGGGTCCTGAGTCCTAGTAAATATAATAGTGATCAACAAAAATATTCTACATCAATTTAAAAAATAAATAAAGTGAAAGTCCGTTCGTAAAGCGGATATTCATCTAGTAGGAATAAAAATAATTGTCATTCCTCAATTGCTTAGTTAATTCTATTTAATTAATGAGTTATTACTGTTTCCTTCTTATTATCATTCTTTATTTTCGCTGATTCTGTCATTTGAAAATATTATTACCAGAGTCCTCTTCCTACTAGAAAAACGTTTGGAAACTCACCAAATGATTTTTTTTCTTTGTCAAACAATATTTCATTGAATAAAACCAGACCTTACAACAATAATTCACATAAAACTTACAACAAATGATTTTGGAAGTGGTTCCAACAAACTAAAAACAAAACAAATTTGATAGATAGACAACAAATCAAAGGAAAACTGACATAAGTAGAATTCCTGGTAAGTCTTTTCACATTTGAAAAGCATTATAAACCTTCATATCTATCTCGATCAATAACATCACGTTGCATCGTTAGGCCCGTAGAAAATCATTTAAGTTTATAACCAATGAGCCATTTTCCGTACCGTACGTAGACCTTAAGAGTTACCAAAGCGATCTAATTAAAGAATTTGGTGAAGTAAATTTTGAAGATGTAGTTGCTATGTCTGATGGAGTTGTTGTATGACATAGGAAGTGATACATGATTGCTATAGTTTTTGTGTGAGTGTTGGTTTCTAAAAGTTTTGTGCAGACAAGATTAGAGCACGTTTTGGATGGACCAGAAAGGGAAAGGGACTAAATAAGAGTTTTGGAAGATTTAATGAAAGTGGAGTTTGATAAGAAAAATGAAAAGTGTCAAAGGAAATTTTACTTTTGCTTATAGAATTTGGAAACCTTCTCCTATCTTGATTAGGAAATCATGTTGGCTATATATGGGGGAGCTGTGCACGTTTTGGAGGATCGTGAGACTTAGACATAAATAAAAATCCGAGAGAGCTTTTTGAGATTGTGTTGCAACTTAATTTTGCGGTTTGGTGTTTGTGTGATCAAACTTATTTGTGTGTTGGTGTTGTCGACGTGTTGGAGTGCTTTGGTGTCATCGTTGGGATCGTTGGTATGACGGTTGTTCCAGATACTTGGAGAATTGAAGTCTAGGTTCAGAGGGAGTTTAGCCCAGGGTTATGTTATCCTGATTAAATCTAGGCTCATTGGAGTTTAGTTAAGGGTAGAGATTATCCTTAAGAGTTCACGTTATAGAACAGAACGGTGAATCAAGAGGGTTTTGTTTGGTTTACGCGTTTGCGAATATGTTGTATTTGCTTTCTTGTTCTGGTCAAATTAAAATCTGGACTTGGTCCCGAGGAATAGAAAAAACCGAACCTCGTTAACGAAGCTCTTGTCAGTTTTATTTCTTGTAAGTTTATCTTACCTCATCCACACTTACACATTTGTATACGAAATACCGAACTTAACCAATTCATGTTCTTTAACTTAAGTAATCTATATGATATCGAACTGTTGATTGGGTGATACGTAAGACTCAGTCTCCAAAAAATTAAATTTCAACACGCTTGCTTGTTCTTAATATTCATCCTAAATTCCAACAAAACAAACCAAAAATCCTATAGAGAAAATTTCCTCTGTTTTTTAATATCTAATGTTTTAAGAGAAAAATATATTTTAAATTAGATAATATTTTTAATTTTAGTGTAAAATTAATATTTTTATTATTAGTTTTGACGATTTATATTGTGTTATTGTTAGTTGAATAATATTTTGATAAAATAATAAATGATGTTTTAGTTTAGAAATAAATAAAAATTAAATAATTTCTTAATTTGTATACAAAATGTTTAAATATTAAAAATTTAAAACAGAGAAAATACTTGATTTATTCTTTTGACTTTCATTTTGTTTGAATTTGTTGACTTTTTTGCCCAAAATTGAAATCCAACATAAAATATATTGTATGCCGTCTTGAATCATTAATTCCATACTTATCATTATCATCTCACTGCATCAATTGAAAAAGTCAATACACAAAAGTAAAATTTAAAGCATCTTCGACCCATCTCTAATTTTTTTAATATGTAATTAATTAATCAATTAAAAATTATACATATAAAAGAAGGGTTTCACTCTCACCTTATTGGTCCACTTGGCAATAAAACTTACAAAAATAACTATTTTTAATTAAGCTAGAAATAAATAACACATTTAATTAAATATATTTAACTCACACTTTATATAAAATTGAAGTCATAGAAAGTAAGCATTAACTATATTTCTTCATTCAATTTTATTCAACACACAATAAACTAAATTGTAACTCCCATAATTTATTTTTTAAATTGTATCTCCCATCACTTCTCACCCTTCTCTCATTCACTCATTCTCTCATCCTCATCTACTATATCTCGAATCTTAATTTTTTTTTGTAAGTTTCCTTTTTGGGTGAGTGGTTGTTATTGTTGTATGGGTTTAAGAAAATCAAATTTAAAATCATTGTAAAAGCATAGTTCTAAATTTATTTTAGAGACTCTATGATATATATCTTACATTATTTTTTGATTTATTAAAGATTCATATCTATTGTCTATTTTAGATTATTATCTTATAAGTAGTCATTTTCTCATATTTTTCCACTATATCCATGTATCTATTTTTTATATTGCTATATGGGTTAATATCAAAGAAACCATCATTGTAAAAATTTGATTCTAAATTTATTTTAGAAAGTATGTCATATAATATATTTTTTTAATTTTCAGAAGCAAAATAAAAGTTTTGATGATTATAACAAAACTTTCAGGTTTATTGGTGATGGAGAATTAAGAATATCAATTCTAATCATCGTACAACAAGGAAAATAATGTTAAGAAGATCCATCTCCAATTCTACTTTAGATGTTTAATATTTTCTAACATATCCATGTATTTGTTTTTTAATTATGAAATATTTAATAAATAAACTATTGTAGCACATATATCAAATAACTTTTTATTACCTCTTTATTATCTTAAATAAATTTTTGTAATTCATTTTTAATATATGTATTATTATATTTAGCTTTTTCTGATCCATTAGATAATTATATAAAGATCGTTATAATGTTTCTTTTATTTAAAATTTGAGGTTTAAGTGTTTCTTGAAAACAAAAAGCTTCATAAAAAAATATTGGCCTTTAAGATTAAAAAATAAAATCATATGTTCCACGAAAATTAAATTTAGTTTTAATAAAATCATTAAAATGAAACATAGCACGCTCATACTTTTATGGAGTGAAATAGATATAAAAAAGAAATAATTTTTTTTTAATTAATTCCTGTAACTAAAGATGAAACCATTAGTATGAAATTTAGCACTAGAATTTAAATTGATGAGTGAAATTAAAAAAACTTTTAAAAATAGAAGTTATCCTTGGAGTTTTGTAAAAAATCTTTAGATGAAGTTCATAAGAAATTTAGTTTGTCACTTACCTCCGCATATGTAAAATTATGCATGATTTATGTAATTCAAAACTATCGTTAAAATATGTATAACCAAATATATGATAAATTGCATATATTATAATAAATTAAAGAGAAGAAACGTTACGTACTCTTGGCCTTTATATTTCCAAGCATCCCATCCTGGATGTACAATAACACTTGACATGTTGGTTTCATAGAAAACAACTCATCTAGAGTAGCCTCTATAAGCTCTTCCCAAGAATGCTTTACCACTTCCTTTAATCTCACAATTCTTGAACACGAATCCACTTGTGTCTTCTTCGCTTTCTCTCCCTTGCGCGGTTATGAATCCTGTTAACATTTGTTCTCTCTTCACACCATTCCATTTCTTGTCACTCTTTTAACGTATATAATGCAGTTCTGCATCCACACACAAACTTATCTTACTAATATTTAACATCTCTATACTTAGCCATTATATGAGAGTTATATGAAATTACTTGGTATATAGATTGGCCTCGTCCCCATATGAAATCGATAGCTCCTTCGATGTAACAGTTTTGGAAGTAGTGGCGGCCTAGTAAATCAGCTATTGTGTCTTGGACACTGATGAACCTACAGTTATAGAACCACACCTTGTCCGCGGTTAGTATAACTGATGGAGCTACGTTTATGTCTTCATACGGTACAATTGGTGTCCTCTTGGTGTAAGTATTCTGCAGAAGTAAAAATGTCAGTTTCACAATATATTTAATTAAATATAAATAAACCAATTTTTTTGTTTCACCACTTTAGATTTTTCCATAGGCTTTTGACATTTCTAAAATGTTCAAAGTATAATTATGTCATAAATATTTATACTTAAGAAAACATTATTCTGTTTGAGAAGTCAACATTTAAGATTAAAGAAGATGATTAGTAGATGTAAACATATGATTTGTAGTAACTACAATATATAAAACCTAACCATGAACGTAGTATTGATAGCGATGAAGTATTCGGCGTTTAATGTGAAAGGACCACTCGAATTGGCTAGTCCTGCATCATTATATTGAATTATCACTTTTGATGCATTGTTTCCTTGCATTATTATCTTTTTCTTCTCCCTCGGAATCACTACTTTTTCGCTGCACAAATATAAACACATATAATTTGGTAAACCACAAATAAAATAAATAAAGAAGTCAAATTCTTGACTGTTTTTCGACAATGGGCATCTTTTACTCCGGACTCAAATAAATAGCGCCGGAAAATCAAAACAATATGGAAAAAAGTTTGTGGGCCTAATATGCTTTCGTATTATTGCCATCACAAAGCCCAATAAATTGGAGAGAGTCGGTCACGAGGGTTGCACGAGATTTCCAAACCCTATAAAATCGAAATCGAAAGGGTAGGGATCTCTGATAGAAAAAGCAAGAAGCAGAAACTCGGCGTCTCTCTTAGTGAGAGAGCGAAGAGAAGCAAGCACCAAAGAAACTCGTCGTCTCTCTTCGTGAGTGGTGAGCTTTTCCGGTCTCTCTCTGTTCCTCTCAGGGCGACATCTTCCTCTTTCCCGACATTATGAATCCCGACGATGTGAAGCCCTCTCATGAGGTTAGTACTCGTTTATCTTTCTTCGTGCAAGCGGAGTAGATTAGTTAGGAAAGTAGATTAGTTTAGGAAAGTAGATTAGTTTAGGGTTTAGGGTTTAGGGTTTAGGGTTTAGGGTTTAGGGTTTAGGGTTTAGGGTTTAGGGTTTAGGGTTTAGTTTAGGTTTCTTCAGATACACAATTTGGTTTATGCATAGGAAAGTAGATTAGTTTAGGTTTCTTCAGATACACAATTTGGTTTATTAACGGATTGTTCTACTAGTGTTTAATACCTGGCGATTTTTTCTATGGTGTGGTCATTTGTTCTCAGAGGGGGCAGCAAAATGAGAAGAGTCTGAAAGATGATAGCTTAGTGGAGAACCAGATCACTGAAGAGAGCAATCTTGTGGTCACTGAAGAGAGTCTCACTATTAAGACTATGAAGGGTAGGGTTTTGAAGTCATGGTCCAACCGACTAACACGGTTAGTAACTCTCGAATCCTTTATGTTAGCATAACAAGTTTCTGAATGATTAAATTGGTGATTTGTTTGCTTTTTTAGATAATGTCTATTAAGAAGTTAATAGAGGATTCAGAAGGGAAGGACAATTATCCATGTGGGGAGCAATTGTTGATTCACAATGGGAACATTCTGAAAGATGATGAAGAGTTATGGCTGGAGAGGAAGGCCAATGAGCGAGGCGTTCTTGTTCTCGTCCTTAAGGTTGTAGTGATTAAAAAACTCTGTCATGGGCACTATGTTCATTTACATAAGTCTTCTCTGTTTGCTTCTGTTTGCTTGTTCATTGTAGTGATAAACATTTGTCATACATAAGTCTTCTCTGTTTGCTTCTGTTGTCATGGGCACTATGTTCATTTACATAAGTCTTTCTCTGTTTGCTTGTTCATTGTAGTGACAAACTTTTGTATTTGTTTGCAGGAGCAAACTGTTGAGAACCAGGAAAAGGAGCTCTCGTTGTCTACTCAAAACTCTGAATCTGAAAGCTCTGAATCTGAAAGCTCTGAGTCTGAAAGCTCTGAGTCTGATGGAGAGATTGATTACGAGGCATTTTGTACGGGACTACAATTTGTTGTGATGGACGAAAGCAAAATTGGACGTAGGGAAGGATACGAGTTGGTGGAGGAGATCACAAACCAGCCACTCCAGCTCCAAAATCCGTTCAACCTGTTCTGCAGGGCGTTTAACACTGGAAACGCAGCAGATGATGATATTGATACCGAAGTCACAATACATGTTGTTTTTCGAGCAGCTCGAGCTGCCGGCTGCGAATTCGGACGGTTTCTTGCACTTGGTGACGAGCCCCCAAGATCAGGTTTGATTCCATCACGAACCAGCTTTAACTTACTCGCCGAAACTTGGGTGACATTTGGGTACTTAGCTGGAAGATACGTGAAGGAGAACTATCGTTTAGAGAAAAACCTCTACATGCAGCAGTTTCATGATTTCTACAGTCTGAGAGGTTGGTGATGATTGATTGTTGACTCTGGAATTTGTAACTTTTAACAGCTGTTGCGTTTTTTCCGGTAAATGTTACATTTCTAAAAAATAGGTGGGTGATGATTGATTGTTGACTCTGGAATTTGTAACTTTTAACAGCTGTTACGTTTTTCCGGTAAATGTTACATTTCTAAAAAATAAATAAGTTTACTGGATTCATTAGATTTGTTAAAAATCTTATTGAGATTAGAAGATTGCAGATTAGTCCATTGTTTGTATTAAAATAAAATAAAACGAATACAAGGCAGTGAAGGTATAATTTTCTTCTAAAAACGCTTAGGCGGGCTTAGGCCAGTGGACTAGTCGGATCACAGTGTGGTCTGGACACTGGGTTATCAAAAAAAAAAAAAAAACGCTTAGGCAGTGAAGGAGTTTCGGAAACTTGCGAACAAAATTCCATTAGGCTTTGTGATGATGGGTCTCTGACTTGGGAAAAGGGGATTTTCATACCCGTACTATCTACACCGTAGATTTTCATACCTGGATAAATTTGTTGGGTATTTTACAACCTAAACTTCAATAAAATTTGAATTTCATACATATACTTGATACAACGTGCAAAAATCGGAGTCAATCTAACGGGTGTTAGTCAACTCCGTTACGGTGCTGAGTCATCATACACGTGTACGCTGACGTGTATCAAAACGATGTCGTTTCATACCCGTACTGTCTGCGCCGTGGATTTTCATACCTGGACAATTTGTAGGGTATTTTACAACTTAAACTTCAATAAAATTTGAATCTTATACCCTATACTTGATACAACATGCAAAAAATCGGAGTCAATCTAACGGGTGTTAGTCAACTCCGTTACGGTGCTGAGTCATCGTACACGTGTACGCTGACGTGTATCAAAACGACGTCGTTTTCATACCCGTACTGTCTGCGCCGTGGATTTTCATACCTAGACAATTTTGTAGGGTATTTTACAACTTAAACTTCAATAAAATTTGAATCTTATACCCTATACTTGATACAACGTGCAAAAATCGGAGTCAATCTAACGGGTGTTAGTCAAGTCCGTTACGGTGCTGAGTCATCGTACACGTGTACGCTGACGTGTATCAAAACAATGTCGTTTTGATATGTGTTCTCAAAGTTTTAATTTTTTTTGCAAAACTGGGGACTCGAACCCGCGAGCCGTAGTCACATGGGAAGCACCAAATACCAACTGATCCCACAACGTTCATCAAGTATTCCTCATCTTTTTAACTTATAAACCCAAAGTGTCATGTGTTTGGAAATAATTAAAACGACGTCGTTTTAAATTGGGGGAAAATTATATCATAGTAAATTACATAATTTAAACATAACCAAGCAACTAATATTTTGATTTTCAGAATGGAGTGACTTAGCCCATCAAGTTCGATCAGTCTTGAAAAAACTGCCCCAAACTCATGCTTACCCAAGGAAGAAAAGTAAAATTCTTATAGAAAAAATAATAATACCTCAACTAAGATTATTTACATTTTTGGTCTGATTTAATTTCAGGTGTTGGAGATTCGTCCCAATTTAAAACGACGTCATTTTAATTATTTCCAAACACACAAACGTTTAGGCGGGCTTAGGCCCAGTGGGCTAGTCGGATCACAGTGTGGTCTGGACACTGGGTTATCAAAAAAAAAAAAAAACGCTTAGGCAGTGAAGGAGTTTAGGAAACTTGCGAACAAAAATTCCATTAGGCTTTGTGATGATGGGTCTCTTGACTTTCAGTGTGGTCTGGGCTCTGTGGTTTTTTCAGTTCACGTTCTAAACACCATGCCGTTTTCATTATCTCAAAACAACACGTTATTCACGGTATCACAGAGCTTTTGTCCCCTACCAAAACCTCAAGTCCTCCGTCGCAAGCCGCCAGAAAGTAGCAGAGAATGTGGAAGCTGACGTCACGATTCCGGCCGCATATCAATTCGACCCATGGTTTGCAGATGTGTTAATCCAGTAAGGCTACTTAGAGCGGAAAGAGCTGTGTCGCCCAGGTACGGATGTTCTAGACTCAGGGTTTTAAGGGAAGTTAGAGATTGTAGTGCTGCTAACGACGGCTCTGCTTGTTCTTCTTGTGGAGATTGTTGTAGGATGAATCCTGAAAAAAATAGTCATAGAGTTATATCTTGATCGGGTTATTAATCACTCGTTAGATCTTAGAAGGCTCATGCATACCTCGGATACTGGTCATGCCCAAGTCAAGGGCTTTAATGCAAGGCATCATGGTGCTGATAAGCAAGATGGAAAGATCGTCGACAAATGTCTGAGACAGAGAGAATGTCTCGAGTTGCGGCACATGTCCTGCAAGATTCCCGACCCCAGCAGAAGTGATTTTTGTATCCCGAGACATTAAGATTCCTCAGATTCTCACCAACACATGCTACAAACCCAACAGAATCATCCCCGAAAGCTGTGGAGCTCAGATCAAGATGTTCTAGGTTAATCATAGTTTTCTAAGAAGCTGAAGTTTTGTAGGGAAGTCTTGGAAACGTCTAAGTAGGTTATAGAGCTTTTGTTGGTAAAGGACAAGGCCTCTGTTTCGGCACTGAATTAGCTCCCGATAAAACTAGCTTTTTCAAGGAAGCTAATGAGCTCTGAGTTTTTGGTTCGGTTACAATGGTGCACATGTTTCATGTGTAAGCATTCAAGGTGCGGTATGTTTGGAGTCTGTGTGACGCTTGTCCACGAGAGGTTTAGGGAAGCTCAAGTTTGAAATTGAAGAATGCTGATAGCTCCTTGGTTGGTTACGTTGCTTCCCCAGATGTCAAAGGTACTCTAGCTTTGTCAGTGCCTGAGGAGCAAAAAGGAACTGGCGGTCAGAAAAACTTTAAAAGATTGATCGTCTAGATGTTAAATGTTATTTACACATAGGCATGTTTTTAGTAAGTGAATTCGGACATACAAACATACTAACTTGCACATACACTTGAACTTCATTTTGTATGGATTTAATGGGTTTGATAACCAGGAAATGATGTTTGAATTTCAGAATCCTGAAGACTAATAGTTTCTATGCACATAATACACCATACTCAACATAGTACCTAGAACTGTACAATTTTAGTAGAGCTCTAACAAATTTAACTAGATAGATGATAACCATTCTACACAGTTCAATAACATACATCAAGCAATTAAAACAGACTAAGTGACTACAAAATAAAGAAAGAGCACAGGTAAAGAACATGTACCTGGAGAGCAATCAAGTTTTGATCAGTTACAGGTAAGCCACCCAAATCCCAAAGAGACAACTTTTTAAGTGAAGCAAGAAGAGAAATTCCAACTTTAGTAACACCTTGTCTGTGGAAATCCACAACTTTTCCAGATATACAACAGATTGGAGGTGCTTTATACCAGCATCTGTAACCTTCCAACATCTTGAAAGATCCAACTCTTTCAAACTCGTTAATCCTGAAAATCCAATATCATATATTAAAACTCGAATTTTTCTTCAACTTCCATTCCAAAAATAGTAGGAGTATATCATTTAACATACCTGTGATAGGCCAGAGGGTGGAACTGTTGAGTCTCTGGCAATCTGATAGATTTAGAGAAATTAGATTAACGAAGCCTCCAATGTAAGCCATCATTCTGCGTTCATAGAGCTTTCGCCTCGGAGATCTATATTCTCTACAGAATGTTTAAATCCTCTGCACAGAAAGAGTCTTCTTTAGTTGTGATAGAGATACCAAGTAAGGTTCCTGGTTGCAAATGAGAGGAGTACTAATGAGCTGGTTGCAAATTATGAATCCTGACTAGAGGTCACAATAGTTCAGTGTCGATGCAATCATGCATTTCCTCAACCAATGAACCCAAGACCAACACGATTCTAGAGCTAAACAGTTCAGGAATAACTATTTCAACATGAATTCAGAAACAACATTTTCTAATCAAATCTAAAAACTAAGATCCCAAGGCGATCACTCAATATCTCAAATCCAAGCATATATATTTATATATAGGTCACCATTTCGAGATCAGAAATCAGATTCATGCTTAGAAACGATCAGAACTACCGTAACGAAGTAAAGAGATTTACTCGAGTAACGAAGGGAAAAGAAGCCCGCCGGTGGAGGATGCGACGGAGGAGAGCATCGGCAGGTGAGGAGGCAGCCTCTCAAGACTCCGCCGCTGAAGTCGCCATCGTTTTATGTTTTTAAGGGGAAAACTTCTCTATTGGAACTAAATATTAATTTAAGTAATTCTTGGTCTATGATTAGAAAAAGAGATATTGGTTGGTAGAAAAAAACCTAACCTATTTGTAATTCCTATAGTACCTCCGTTATTTTTATTTTTTAAATTAAAGCCTATACCTTCGTTACAATCATATTCATGGCCTGGTCGCCACTTAATCCTCGATCTTTGACTGCGTCAAACTCTTCACCAAACCTCTCCGTATGTTGCTTCACGGACGATACACTGACTCCATAGAACACCAGAACAACCACAAAGTCGTGTTGTTACGGTATGAGTACTCGAGAATCTGTTTTTCCAAGAATGACACAATGAAGTGCATAGTTTTTGGAAAAACCCACACCACCACCCGTAATTTGGAGAATTCTCAGGTCCCATCTCCCTCTCGACAGCTTCGTCATGGCTGCTTTTACCGTCAACGAACGCAGAGATGATTCCTTGTCGGTTGAAAGCAGCGATGAGGTAGCTGATGAAAGAGGAGACTGATGAATCATTTTTGTTGAAACTGATATAAACGGTGTGGTTAACCTCATCGTTTCTGTTGTGGTTGTTGTTGTTGTTGTTGTCCATACAAAGAGTTTGAGCATCAAATGACAAGAGATACCTTTTGTGCTTTCGATATTTTAGATTGTTCTACCATTGATTCCTTTGTTGTGAAATGACCAAAAGTAGTTTTTTCCTCTAAATATGAGTTAAAAGATCTTCTACTTCGGGGAGGTTGATTATATAGAAGCAAAACATATATTAATATTAACATTTCTTACAAATTTACATTAACTAAAATTTTAAGCAACTAGAACTTTAAAGACTGATTTTATACACGTAGGTATATAAAAAGAAATGTTACCGATCAACATGTAAATATTTTTTACACGTAGGTAGGGCTGGGCACAAAAAAAAATGTTACAAGCCCATGTGGTGGTGGGCGAGTGGTTGGTGGGCCAGGGGTGTTTGGGTGAAAGTTCCTCCCCTCCGGTTTCGATTCCTCCTCTTGCTGTTATCAACATTATGTGGGAAGTCTGTCAGTTGGGCTTTGGCCCAATTGGTTTACCTGGTAGTCAGAAATGCAGGCGGCCTGACTACCCCTGGCACTTAGTCGGAAGGCATTCCAAACTCGGGATAGGCAGAGTGGTAGTCCGAAGGGCCATAGCCGTTAACACGGTGGACAAGTCCACTATGTAGCACCTCGGTGCGTTCCTACCGGGGCCGACCGGATAGCCGATAGGGTTTATCAAAAAAAAAAAAAAAAAAAAAAATGTTACAAAAAAATGAAAAGTAATGATCGGATATTTATTTGATAGAAACTTTTTCCAAGTGGCATACGATGTTTCGTTTGAGTATATTAGTGTGATATACTGTTTTCAAACGTAAGAAACGTGCCTCAAGCCGCAAAAGGCTGACAATTACATCGTTTACAAATTTTAGAGCTGTTTAACCGAGATTTGTCCGTTTTATTAGTGACACCGGAGAAATATTCTAAATGTAATTGATAAGCCCAAGATAATATAACTATACCAAAGTCGACCGTTTTGATGTTCTAAAATATTGATCAATGTCAAAAAACAAATCATCGATTGATCATATAGCTTTTAGGTAGAAGTTTAGTCATTACGTTTTTCACAAACCTTTTCTTTTTTTTTGAAAGAGAAACAAAACCAAAAACAAACGAGACATAATTACGATTCTTTTCGATTTTTCGGAAATAAAGTTTTTCTACCGCTCCTAATTATTACTGTAGAGTGCGGACATAGGTTTATAATTTATTTTTATAGATAAAAAAATCATAAAGAGTAAACACAACGTATAGAATGTGAATATTTATAACACTAATCTATATATAATAGCAATCTAATAAATACCATTTCCACATCTGAACGGTTGCGTCTTTTTATCGCAATTTTTCGTTAATGTTTTAATTAAATAAAATATATATTTTACGGTTATGTTTTTTTTTTTATAAATTGCATTCTGAATGTTTTCTACGGTTTGCGTTTTTTATTGTAACTCTTCATAAACAGTTGAAACCGCTTATTCGAATCATTGCAATATTAAGTTTATTTTACGAACAATTGCAACCTTTGGTTTATATATTTAGTTTATTTCACGAACAATTGAAATTTTTTGGTTTATTTTATAATAGCAATAACATTTAAGTTATCTACGCCGCGTCTCTCGGTTGTAACTTTTCATAAATTATTATTTTAATTCTTAATTTTTAATTACTAAAATGTATTTAAATGAGATTGTAAACTATTTAATTGAATTGTTTTAACATTTAACGAATTATTGCAACTTTTGGTTTTGTGTTACGAACCATTGTTATCTTTAGAATATTTGATGAACTATTGCAATATTGGTATAATTGACGAACCGTTGCAGTTTTTGGAATATTTGATATCTACGGTTGCGTTTCTCGGATAAGTTCGTCATATTTTAAAAAATATTTAAATACTAAAATATATTTAAATGAATTGTATGTTACCGTTTAATTTAACACAATAGCATTTGCTTTATTTGACGTTGAACGTTTTGGCTTATTTATCAAACCATTGTAATATTTGGTTTATTAGTTTATGCTTTTTGCACTTGGGAATAGTTTTTTAGTTACAAATTATTGTTTTTCAAATATTAATATACTTAATAAATGCTTGTGATTTTCTTTATCATATTTTTGTAAAATATATATTGATTTGTTATTAAAAAAATTCAAAATTATTACAATTCATTATGATTTTTTTCGTTTGATATTTTTTTAAAGGATTTTTGAAATATATTCCTCCGCAACATCGCGAGGGTCCTGAGTCCTAGTAAATATAATAGTGATCAACAAAATATTCTACATCAATTTAAAAAATAAATAAAGTGAAAGTCCGTTCGTAAAGCGGATATTCATCTAGTAGGAATAAAAATAATTGTCATTCCTCAATTGCTTAGTTAATTCTATTTAATTAATGAGTTATTACTGTTTCCTTCTTATTATCATTCTTTATTTCGCTGATTCTGTCATTTGAAAATATTATTACCAGAGTCCTCTTCCTACTAGAAAAACGTTTGGAAACTCACCAAATGATTTTTTTTCTTTGTCAAACAATATTTCATTGAATAAACCAGACCTTACAACAATAATTCACATAAAACTTACAACAAATGATTTTGGAAGTGGTTCCAACAAACTAAAAACAAAACAAATTTGATAGATAGACAACAAATCAAAGGAAAACTGACATAAGTAGAATTCCTGGTAAGTCTTTTCACATTTGAAAAGCATTATAAACCTTCATATCTATCTCGATCAATAACATCACGTTGCATCGTTAGGCCCGTAGAAAATCATTTAAGTTTATAACCAATGAGCCATTTTCCGTACCGTACGTAGACCTTAAGAGTTACCAAAGCGATCTAATTAAAGAATTTGGTGAAGTAAATTTTGAAGATGTAGTTGCTATGTCTGATGGAGTTGTTGTATGACATAGGAAGTGATACATGATTGCTATAGTTTTTGTGTGAGTGTTGGTTTCTAAAAGTTTTGTGCAGACAAGATTAGAGCACGTTTTGGATGGACCAGAAAGGGAAAGGGACTAAATAAGAGTTTTGGAAGATTTAATGAAAGTGGAGTTTGATAAGAAAAATGAAAAGTGTCAAAGGAAATTTTACTTTTGCTTATAGAATTTGGAAACCTTCTCCTATCTTGATTAGGAAATCATGTTGGCTATATATGGGGGAGCTGTGCACGTTTTGGAGGATCGTGAGACTTAGACATAAATAAAAATCCGAGAGAGCTTTTTGAGATTGTGTTGCAACTTAATTTTGCGGTTTGGTGTTTGTGTGATCAAACTTATTTGTGTGTTGGTGTTGTCGACGTGTTGGAGTGCTTTGGTGTCATCGTTGGGATCGTTGGTATGACGGTTGTTCCAGATACTTGGAGAATTGAAGTCTAGGTTCAGAGGGAGTTTAGCCCAGGGTTATGTTATCCTGATTAAATCTAGGCTCATTGGAGTTTAGTTAAGGGTAGAGATTATCCTTAAGAGTTCACGTTATAGAACAGAACGGTGAATCAAGAGGGTTTTGTTTGGTTTACGCGTTTGCGAATATGTTGTATTTGCTTTCTTGTTCTGGTCAAATTAAAATCTGGACTTGGTCCCGAGGAATAGAAAAAACCGAACCTCGTTAACGAAGCTCTTGTCAGTTTTATTTCTTGTAAGTTTATCTTACCTCATCCACACTTACACATTTGTATACGAAATACCGAACTTAACCAATTCATGTTCTTTAACTTAAGTAATCTATATGATATCGAACTGTTGATTGGGTGATACGTAAGACTCAGTCTCCAAAAATTAAATTTCAACACGCTTGCTTGTTCTTAATATTCATCCTAAATTCCAACAAAACAAACCAAAAATCCTATAGAGAAAATTTCCTCTGTTTTTTAATATCTAATGTTTTAAGAGAAAAATATATTTTAAATTAGATAATATTTTTAATTTTAGTGTAAAATTAATATTTTTATTATTAGTTTTGACGATTTATATTGTGTTATTGTTAGTTGAATAATATTTTGATAAAATAATAAATGATGTTTTAGTTTAGAAATAAATAAAAATTAAATAATTTCTTAATTTGTATACAAAATGTTTAAATATTAAAAATTTAAAACAGAGAAATACTTGATTTATTCTTTTGACTTTCATTTTGTTTGAATTTGTTGACTTTTTTGCCCAAAATTGAAATCCAACATAAAATATATTGTATGCCGTCTTGAATCATTAATTCCATACTTATCATTATCATCTCACTGCATCAATGAAAAGTCAATACACAAAAGTAAAATTTAAAGCATCTTCGACCCATCTCTAATTTTTTTTAATATGTAATTAATTAATCAATTAAAAATTATACATATAAAAGAAGGGTTTCACTCTCACCTTATTGGTCCACTTGGCAATAAAACTTACAAAAATAACTATTTTTAATTAAGCTAGAAATAAATAACACATTTAATTAAATATATTTAACTCACACTTTATATAAAATTGAAGTCATAGAAAGTAAGCATTAACTATATTTCTTCATTCAATTTTATTCAACACACAATAAACTAAATTGTAACTCCCATAATTTATTTTTTAAATTGTATCTCCCATCACTTCTCACCCTTCTCTCATTCACTCATTCTCTCATCCTCATCTACTATATCTCGAATCTTAATTTTTTTTTGTAAGTTTCCTTTTTGGGTGAGTGGTTGTTATTGTTGTATGGGTTTAAGAAAATCAAATTTAAAATCATTGTAAAAGCATAGTTCTAAATTTTATTTTAGAGACTCTATGATATATATCTTACATTATTTTTTGATTTATTAAAGATTCATATCTATTGTCTATTTTAGATTATTATCTTATAAGTAGTCATTTTCTCATATTTTTCCACTATATCCATGTATCTATTTTTTATATTGCTATATGGGTTAATATCAAAGAAACCATCATTGTAAAAATTTGATTCTAAATTTATTTTAGAAAGTATGTCATATAATATATTTTTTTAATTTTCAGAAGCAAAATAAAAGTTTTGATGATTATAACAAAACTTTCAGGTTTATTGGTGATGGAGAATTAAGAATATCAATTCTAATCATCGTACAACAAGGAAAATAATGTTAAGAAGATCCATCTCCAATTTCTACTTTAGATGTTTAATT